GGACTGCCAGCAGTGGCCGAGGAGAGGGGCACACCTGGAAGGAGCAGCCGGTGGGATTTCCTGTTGCCTAGGGAGCCAAGGGCCAGAATTTGCCCAGCTTAGATGCAGCAGTGAGGCAACTATTTAAGACCTGGGACCCAGAGATCCTGAGAAAACACCACAAAGCTAAGATGGGTCAGAGAACTCCAACTCTGCAGCGTGTTTTTTCAGGCTCTAGGCTGATTTCTACCTGCCAATTCACAGTTATAGAACAACATAATCTGTGCCAGCACAGAGGGATGATTGGAGTAGTTCACTCAGGTCTAGATTTTACAATAGAACAAACCAAAAGAAAATTATTTCCTGAAACTTGGCACTCTACAGGGCACCACTTGGATGGGGTGGAACTTTGGTGTGGTGAACACAGGCAGCATCCAGCAGGAAGGCTGTTAGTATGCTTAACCCCCTTCCCTTTCTATGAAGTTGCTATTAGTCAGTACCCTAACGCATTTCGTTCTGCTCACGTGCAGTTCTTCCTTTACAGCTTCAGTGAAGTAGCTGGGCCCAGACTGGGGAATCCTCAAAAAGAGCATTTGCCATGATAGATATGCTATATCTGGCTGTAATGCTAAATTTACATAAAAGTAATTTACCTCCATTTCTTTCCAGTTCACACTATCACCAAAAAGCCCATGTCTCGGCATGAGAACACAGAAGAGCCAGCAGATGGTAAGAAACCTCTGAACAAGTTAAGGTTAATATTGGCCTGCTCTAGTCGAAGATTAGTGGGGGGAAAAAAAAGCAAAACAGGAAAAGACAGCAGGTCTCAGGCAACTGAGAAAGATGAGAGCTAGCATGGAGCACTGATTAATACCCACGTGGTACAGGAGAAACTAAGATGCAGTAGACAGCAATGACAGAATTAGCAGGACAGTGTAGGCAGGTGGGGTGGTGCAGCACGCAAATCTTGAAACTTTATCAGGGTAAATTTGAGTAGAAATGTCACCCTGCATTCTCTTACAAGATCATTTGCAGAAGCAGAGAGGCTGTCTCCAACCTTGGCTTTCTTGTTATTGCTCAGACAGCACGAGGATGTTCCATTCTAACAACATCCATAGGTCACTGCCTTTGATGCTTTCTTTCATTTGTATTTGTGTCTCTTAAACCAACAGCGGAGTTTCTAAATCTGATTCACCACGCAGCACTGGAGCCAACAAAGAAATATTCAGAGCCACAAACTGAAAGCCAAGAAATTGGCTGGAACACAACACCTTTGGTGAGTAGGGTGCTTAAAGATTCAGTTCTTTGCAGGATTCAGAGAGGTTCGGCCCAGCATCCTGAAACATATTAATGCAAGAAAATAATTTGTGACGAACATGGAAAACAGGAATGTCTAGGAATGATCTGAGCTGTTCATGGACTAGAAGTTTTTAAACTTTACACCCAAGATGACTCTTTATGCTGGCACAGGCTTGTGACTACAGAAACAGTAGACTTCCCCTGAGAAACTTGCATGCAAAATACCTGCAGTGACAGCCGACCCCAAGCATATTGCCAAATGCCACATATGTAGTCACAGCTGTTTATTAAAGCATTCAGCCATGAGAAATGGCACAGCGAGCAATCCGAAGTGACACACGTTAAGTGCTGTGAAAAGAAACGTGCTGCCGCACGGTATCTTTCAAACAAATTGCAAGCACAACCATAAAATTAATAATCAGCTAAGCATACCCGAGGCAGAATACACCAGTGAGGATTCATTTGGGGAAGTGTGAATAAACAGGAGAAAAAGTAATCTTATTGACAAGCTAAGACATCAATCATATTTGACAAACAAATAGCTGTGATGATGACTGACTTTGTAGAAAGGCAAATGAAGGCCTGATTAATTTTGGCCTGTTACAAAGAAAACTAAGATAAATAAGAAAATAAGATAGTCTTATGCAACTTCTCTTCCTACACTTCAGGTAAACTAGCTAAAGACAGACATCCCAGCAGGGCTTTATCCTGTTACATACTGGTAGGATTAGCCTGGGAGGAAAGAGGCAACTAAATTTGCACATAGGGAAGCAAGTTAAATGTATAGTCAAAACTCATGATGCTGTTTCATACGTTAAGTTTTCCTTCTTCACCAGGTCCCATTGTGATAAAGCAGCAAACAGTACATGCTCAAACAAGTGGTGCCCTACTCGATTGTCACTTGGGCATTTCTCAGCAGCAAGAACATCGGGCATCACTTTTCTCAGGAGACACTACTACTAAAAATTCTACTAAGAGCACATGGCTATTCATCATTTTTCCTTCCCAGGTTCACCTGGACCGTACTGACTGCAGACTCTACTTCCCACACCAGAAAACTGATATCACTAAATAAATGGCTGCCACGGGTAGGAGCAGTCTAGAACCTGCAGTAGCAGAGTGGCAGAGCAACACAACTTGGATAGAAGCAGTTCATGACATCTAATGTGTCAGGCCCTGCTTGTTAGTAGGTGAGTCTGGTAGATTTCTAGCAAGAGAGGATCACGAGGAAAGGGAAGAGAGAACCTCACTCTGTCTAGATTTGCAGCCTGACAGTCGTACAAAAATAAACCTGTTTGTAAGATTGTTGCATTTGTGTCTCTGCTGTTTCCAAACCCATCTATAAACACAGTGTAAAAACCACTTTAACATCTTGACAGGCTTCAGACTTCTTATTTTGACATCGGCAACATGACCAGGAACTCAAGTTTGCCAAGTACATGTCAACAGTGGCTGTGGAAAAAGTTGGCAGAATGAAGGGAACACAGGGCAAACATGAACATGACGTTGTTCTGTGCAAACAGTTTAATACATTCACACAGCAAAGGTTTAAGTAGAAAACAATCCTTCAACAAAATAGACAGTAGGAAGAAATTAGTGATAAGGCACTAGTTTCCACTGACTTTTTTCTTGCCACTCGGAAACATACAGCTTGCTCCACAGTTAGCTGCTTGATGACAGCAGAAACCCATCTTGCGACACAAAGAAACAAAGGAACCCCACTGGGGCACACGGTTCTCTTAGCGTGCTCGGCTCTTCATTTTCTGCCTTGCTCTTTTTCCAGGTCTCTTCTGCAAAAAAAAAAAAGACACATTCAGTCTTTATTTTCATGTCCTCAATCTTTGTTCTGGCTCTGTAGCTTGGGGAGAATACTAAGGAGAGGACATTTGTCAGCACCTCTGGAGACATGGTTTTGGGACAGAGGTAGCAAAACCAAAGGACCCTTCCCCCTCCCCATTTCCCTGCTCAGACACCAAAACACTGTCCTCAACTCTGTCTGCAACTGAATTATGCTCAGCTCCCAAAGACAGGTGTTGTCATCACGTTCTCAGCTCTCCCTCCCGGACCAGGGCTGGCTTCCTGGCCAGCCAGGATCATTTGCATGCAACGTTTTACTTACATTGAGGGCTTTTTTCCCTCCTTTTCCTGGGCCTTTGTTGTGAGCCACTTTTGACCGGAAGCTGGATACATCATTAAAACTCTCTTTTGTGTTCCACTTTGAGCCCTTCTTCTTCCCACCAAAACCGAACTTCTGGTTCTTGTATCGTCTTTTGGCATTCGGTCTGAAAAACAACCGAACAGCATCACTGCCTATATTCCTTTCCTCAGGAAGCTCTTAAGATGGCACATGGATCTGCTGGTGGACTCCTATCAGCCATCACTGAAGAGACAGAAATCAGCATACTTCAGTCTCTCTTCCATTCTAGCTACTTTTTTCGTCAAGGACAAAAAGCAACCTCAGACTTATTTTAACAACATCAATCAGAATAGCTTTCTTGTTATACAAAATAATCCCCTAAAAGACTGAAAAAAAAAGAGTCAAAGAATCTACATTTACATATCTTTCTTTTCTGGTCTTACCCCTTTTTCATCCGTTGACCTGCATTGCCTTTTTTATTGCCCTGAGACGACGTCTGTTCTTCATCTAGAAAATCCAGCTTGTCAGAGAGGCCTACAAGAGAAAAAGCGTAATTGTTGCTCAGCTACCACCACAGACAACGTGAATTTTCAGTCTAAGCAAGTCATAGCAACAAGTCACCCTCAGTGAAAACCAGCCACCTGGGGGGGGGATGATTCTGCACAGCAAGAGCCTTTCCAGCTCACTTCCCAGCACTTCGGATTAACACCACAGAGCACACTGCCTTACGCTGCTCACACATCACTACTCATGTTACGTGTTTGCTCTCTTAGACAAGTTAACTTTACCTTTCTGGTATTTCTTGACTGCATTCAACATATTTTTTTTCTCCTTTTGTCTCCTCTGCAGAATCTCAGTTTGCACCTTCTTGCCATATTTCCTCATTGCACGGAGCTGCTTTGCTTTCTCAGACCTCTCCATTGCTTCCTGTTTACTCTTAAGTTTCTGTCGAATCTTATTAGAGGATAGAAAACACAAAGTTTACCAGTAACACAAAAGAAAATATGAGAATTTAATGACTGTTGTGCAGTCCTGAATATCAATGAGTGTAAAAACAAACAAAAAAACCCTCAATCAAGTAACGCTTTCTAATTCATAATGTTCTTTCAACTCAAGGCTGGAACAGTTATTACAGAAACTCCTGAACGCATCTGTAGCCAAAATCTTATTAAAAAGAGAAAATTCACACAAAGACAAGACAAAATCTTATAATGGGCTCTAACGGTACCACTAAACAAGAGTATCTTGTCTTATCTTGTCAGTCTACTCAGGTGTATAAAGAAAATTCAATAGTTTCTTTCTTTTCATGATTAGAAGTTAAGCACTGAAGAAAAGTTAACAACTCTTCCATGCCATAGAATACATCTTTTTTATTCCTTCTTTGTCTGAGAACATTTCTGTAAGGATGCTGCATTACAAAACATTACAAGGATTTCAACATAGATCTTCTGGATTCATTCTGCAACTCCACTAGGAGATAAAATCTCTGTTCTTCAAACAGAAGAAGATAAGAGTAATGTGCAGAATTGACTTAAGCCTCAGCAAAAGCTAATTACTAATCTTCATCTTCTCTAGGAAGATTTTATCAGCCATCAAAACAGTGACCAAGTCATGCATGAACCTCCACATTAGACTCTGGCTCACGTTTGTTTAACTTATACAACGTAGTCTTTCTTTTCCAAAACTAAAACAAAATTAGGGTTCCATTCTGAATAAAGACCACAATCAAGAAGCAGGTTCATTAAATTCTTTTTCCTTACTCAAGTCTGACTTACTACCGATGATAAATCAATTCAATAACACACAGTTTAAAATCACAGAAATCAAAACTCACTAAGTATAAATTTAGGGTGATACTTAAACAAAGAAAAAGGATCGCATTAATGCCACAGTTGACTGCAAGTCTTAGGCCAAAGAGCATAAAACAGAGCCAATTTCAGAACCACTGTCACATATAGGGAGAAAATTTTAATATTAAATACATTCAGGACAGAATATAAATCACGTTTTTCCTGTTTGATGTTCTGACCTGTTCTGGAAGTCGCTACGTTACACTGAAATACCTAAACAGGAAAAAATTTCCTGCCACAAAATAAATTTCAAACGCAAACATCATCACAGGCATTTCTCAAAGAGATGAAGGTTAAGTATTCACAGATCACACAAGGTTAATCCCTAACACAGGCTAAAACCAACACATAACACAGGGTAGAAAGCCATTATTCACTGCACATACCTTCTGCATCTGTTGGTCTGACTTGGCCATCTCTGCAAAGTAATCATCCGGCCTTCTGGTAGGAATTTGGAGCTTACGCAACCTAGGTAGTGCTTCCAGGACCGCTGCCTGAGCCTGCCGGTAACTAGGGAGACAGCACAGCACCAGCTCTGTCACTGGGTAGTGGTAATCTCCCAGCGCTGGCAGAAACTCTGCTCACATAAGCTACCTGACACCAGGATCTAACAAACACTGATCCAGAATTATACCAATATGCTCTGCCCTAAAGCATTCAGGGCTACTAAAAGCAACGTAGGTGCCAGTATAAATAAAAACTTTTCAGCAAAGGATGGAAGTCTGCTGCAAGGAGAGAAATTATTTCCAGTCACAAGACAAGTTAAATACACTAACATTAATTATAGTTATTTTTGAGAACGTTCAGAGCCATGGCCAAAGAGTGACATGACATCAATGACAGCCAGGGTAGCAGTCTGTAGCACACCTGTGAAAACACAACTTCAAGCACACAGCAGTATGCCAACACCCTAAAAGAAATCTCCCCTTTGAACACTTACAAGCTCATCTCTCTCTGGAAATCGTTCTCGGGATCAACAGCATCTTTGTTAGAAGCACTCGGTGAGACAGGGTCCACGACCTGGCCCAAAGTCACATCCAGCCTTTCCACCCAAGCCAGCTGCTGCTTGAATTCGGACAGGCACTGCTTCAGGCCCTTCTGTGAAAGAAGCACAGCTTTGCCCACCACCGCACACCACCACTGC